AGGATTTGTTCCAAGACCTCCAGTGCCTGAGACTGTGGATAGTACCAAAGTCTATATATACTATTTTTTTTCCTATGATAAAGTTCAATTTATAAATTAAGCACAGTAAGAAATTAGCAATAATAATAAAATAGAACTGTTATAACATTATATCCTGAGAAGTTATGTGAATGTGGTCTTTCTATCAAAATATCTCATTGTGCTGTATTCACTCATCTTGTGGTGATGCAAGATGAGAAAATGCCCACGTGTTGAGATGAAGTGAGGTGAATGACGTAGGCGTTGGGACACAGCTTTAGGCTATCATTGACCATGTATCAGAGGAGGATCATCTGTTTCCGGGCGGCAGTTGACCACAGTAACTGAAACCTCAGGAAGCAAAACCATGGATAAGGGGGGAACTGCTGTAACTATAAGTTTGTACCCCTTGACCAACACCTCCCCATTTCCCCTACTCCCCCACCCCCAGCCAAGCCCCTGGTAGCCACCACTCTACTCTCTGTTTCTATATGTTTGGCATTTTTAGATTCCACATATAAGTGATACCAGTATTTGCTTTCTTTGTCTGACTTACTTCACTTAGCACAATGCCCTCAAGGTCCATCCATGGTGTCACAAAGGGCAGGATTTCCTTCTTTCTCATGAGTGAATAATATTCATTGTATATATACAACACATCTTTATCCATTCATCCACTGATGGACACAGGTTGTTTCCTTGTGTGCAACAACTTGGCTATTGTGAATAATGCTGCAATGAACGTGGTATGCAGATACAAGAAGATGCTCTTTAGCGGGCTAAGGAAGTTCCTTTCTATTTTTAGTGTAACATAACCTGATGGCAAGTGTTATCAAATGATTTTTATGTATCTATTGAGATGATCATGAGTTTTCCTTTTGGTCTGTTGATACAGCAAATGATGTGGAATTTAAAAACTTTAGAAATTGATGTGTTACTTATACAGAGAGATGTGTACACACAAGTGTACTGCTTAAGGAGTTTTGAAAAATTGAACACACCCATGTGTCTAGCAGCTAGATCAGGAATCAAAACACGTTGCTAACACCCTAGAGGCTCCTGCCCCCTTCCTTTTATAGATTCCAAATGTTAAATTACCTTTGCTTTTCTGCGATAAACAAAACTTAGTCATGGTGTATCATCTTTTTTAATACATAGGAGAGGGGCAGGTGAGGTCGGCAGAAGCCAGCAGGTAGCCAGTTGGCCAAGGAGGTGCAGATGCCCTGGCAGCAGGAGCGGTGGCCACAGTGACTCTACCAATAGTTTATTAATATCAAATATCTATTTTGTGTTTAAATTTCTTCAGTTGCCTCATGATACTTAAAAAAATAGTTTGTTTGAATTAGGATCCATACAAGGTTCATGCCTTGCACTTGCTTGATACATTCTGTAAATGTTTACTTTTCTCTCCGCCCCTTTAAATCTCTTGCTATTAATTTGTTGAAGAATTGGACATACGCCTTCAGCTCCCTATAGTTTAAATACAGTGGTTTCCTTTAGCATGTTTTCTCTCTCTTTTCTTTCTTTACATGTGGTATTTAGATATGGAGCCATGATTCTCAACCTTGGTTGTACATTAGAATCACCGATCCTAATATCAGAATCAGGTATTATACTGTTTTTGTGCAACTCCACAAGTGATTCTGAATTGAACAAGGTCAAGAGCCAGAGATATAGATTAACCAAAATCAAGGCTTAATTCTATGGTAAGATTTCATTGTTGATGGTGTATATTTGGAACCACACAGAGTTTGGTTATCTTTGGGATGATTTCTTTGTGGGCAGCTTTTCAACCATTGTTTCAACACCTTCACTAGTTATAGGACTACTCAGGTATTGTATTTACTTGAAGTTAGTTTTAGTAAGTTCTAGTAATGTGTTCATTTTGTCTCTTTCCAAACAGTGTAGTCATTGCTATATCAGTAGCTAAGTCCCCCCACTTTCATTCATAATGTTTTTACTTGTCCTTTCTATTTTCTTGATCAAAATTTCTGGAAATTTATCAGATTTATTTGCCTTTGTATAGACAATCTTCTAACTTTGTTGAATCTCTCCACTGTGTTTATTTTCTGTTTCATTGATGCCTATTCTTCATCATCCCTCTCCTTTTATCTTTGGGTTTTTTCTATTATTCTTTATATTTTTAAACTTCTTTCATTAGACACTTAAATCACCATTTTCCTGTCTTTATTCTTTCTTAGTATAACTTTTTGTGGCTATAACTTTCCCTCTAAGTGTTGTCTTTGTCACATTTTACAAGTCTACATATATAAAGTTACTTTTGTTTTTCCTTTTTTAAAAATTATTAAGGTATGATTGACATACACTCTTATGAAGGTTTCACATGAAGAACAATGTGGTTACTACATTCACTAATATCATCAATTTAAATTATTTGATGCGTGAGTTAATCGAAGTGCATTATAAAATTTCTGAATGTATGAGGGTATAAAACATCTTTTGTTACAGGTTTTAAATTGATTTGTTTTGTGGTCACAGCATGTGGACTCTATTGGTACTATTTATATGAAATTTAATGAAACATGCTTTATAACCTAGTACATGATTAGCTTTTGTAAATATTCTATGTGTAGTTGAGAAGGAATCTGCATATCCTACTTGGTGGGTATGGATTTTCACATATGTCCCATTAAATCAAGTTTGTTGATTTTGCTGTTCAAATATTTTAGACCTTTAATATTTTGCTTGACCTCTAAGTATATAAGAGATGGGAGAGAGGTCAGACTTTACAACAACATTGGATATAGGAAGATGATAGCATCTTTAGAGAACTGAAGGAAAATAACTTTGAACCTAGGTTTTTAAAAAATATGTAGTCAAACTGATATTAAAACAGGGCAGCATTATAAAAATATTCTCACATAAATACTCTTACTGAAACCTTTAGGAGAACTGCTCAAATAAGAGAAACAAACACAGATGCTAAGATAGAAATGTGTGAATAAGGGTGGCCTTAAATTTGTTGTCTTAAAAAGCTAAGACAAAAGAAAAAGTATGTTTCCAGCAACTCAGAATGCAAACAAGGTAGAGATATAGGACACTGAGTTATGAAAACACTAGCTCATGTGACAATTCCTAAATCTCAGTGGCTTAACCCATGTCTATTTCTCACTCATATGAGGGCCAAATGATGTTCCTGACAGTGGTGATCAAGTGATGCTTCAGGGACTCAGGGTCCTAGTCTTGTGTCTTCTCCATTTTCAAAATGTGGCTTCCAAAATCATCACAGAGGGAGAGGGTAGCATAGAGGACCATGTGTGACAGGTTTTGTGGAGCAGCTGTGTTACCTGGGTTACTTCAGCTTTTTAGTAGCATGGTTTTCTATATACACATCTAGATTGCTTTGTGTCCAGATGTCCCATCACATTATCTACCATGTCATCTACTCTACAGCCTTCTCCCTGCTGACCTCCCTCCTAGAGTCCTTCGTCGTCCTGCTTCAGTCTGGATCAGTTGTTCTCTAGGTCTCTTATGTAGCAGTCACTGTGGAACTACTCTACTGCTTTCTGGTTGGGATCCCTTGTTTTTAGCATCACAAGTCTTTTGTAGGTTTGTTCGTTTGTAAGTTTACTTGCTCATTTTGCTAGTGGAGCACATCCTCCAGTAAATTCCTAGTGAGGTGCAGGAAGCTCCATGTCTCAAATGTCTTCACTACACCTTCACATCTAATTGGTGGTTTGGCTGAACATAGATCTCTAGGATATTTTGACATTATTGGCTCTATTGTCTTCTGACGTCTAGGGTTGTTTTAAAAAGCCTTATGCCATTCTGATTTTTTCCGTTCAATGTGATATCTTTCTTCCTCTTGGGAGCTTTTGCAATCTCTTCTTCACCTCTGGAGCACTGGACGTCATCAGGTTGCCATGGTGTGGACCTTTTGAAAATGTCTTTCAATTCTGGGATTTTTTGTTTGTTTGTTTTTGTTTTCCGTTGTTGCTAATTTTGTCCCCTCCATTTCTCATTTTTTTCCTAGAACTACCCTTAGTCAGATGTTGGACTTCATGTCTTTTGTATTTTCTTTACTTCTGCTTGTGTTTATTACTCAAACCTTTTTTTTTCCTCACTAAGGGGAGGCACTGCCTGTTGACATTCTGTGAAAGAGAGTGTGGAAATGGGTCTGACTTTGTATAGACTTTCTACTTGTCTCTCTATACACACCCTGACTTTTCTTACCTGGGCCTTTCAAAGTCTGAGCCTTTCTGGGCTTGGGGGCTGTGTGATCATTTCTCATTGCTGTCCCTCTCTGACTGCACTCTAGGTTATAGCTTTCCTCTGCTAAATGAGTTACCTGCTCTCTGTTTCCTCAAAGTGTGTCTTTTCCACTGATACCACCTCTTTCATTCTTCTTGTTTTTTAAAAATTCCTGTTATCATTTTAGTAGTGGTCATGGATAAAATTGTGTGATCAATTTACTGTCTTTAACCAGAAGAACTATCTTATTCTCTTTAATGACTACACAGTATTCCATTGTAATGCTATAACAATTATTTATTTTCCTCTTAATGACGATGGCAGAGACTGTTTCTGCTTGATGTTTGTTCTCCCCTTCTTCCTTAAAAAATGAATATGCTGATTCTGATATGTGACCATCCAGGACTAAAGCTTCACTTTTAAGCTTCTTTGGAAACTAGACATAGCCTTACAACTAAGCTTTGCTACTGGGATATAAGTGGAAATGCCATATATGATTATGAGTTATATGCTTAAGGGAGGAATGTGTCTCCCTTTCTTTCCCCTTCCTCCATCCTGCTGGCTGGAATGTGGATGTGATGGCTGGAGTTCACACAGTCATTTTGGGTTGTGAGATGTAAACCATGTATTGAGAATGACAAGGGAACCACAGGAAGGCATCTAGGACTCTGAAATCATAAGCTGCCATAACACCTGTGTTAGTTTCTTGGGTGAGTATAACAAAATACCCTAGGCTGGGTGGCTTAAACAACAGAAACTTATTTTCTTACCATTCGGGGGCCTGGAAGTCCAAGGTCAAGGCATAAGCAGGGCTGGTTTCTCCTGAGGCTTCTCTGGTTGGCTTGCACATGCCTGCCTTCTCCCTGGGTCCTCAAATGGCCTTTCCTCTGTGTGCACATGTTCCTGGAGTCTCTTTCTGTATTTCCTCATTTCCTAGGGACACACCAGTCATATTGGATTAGAGCCACTCTAATGGGCTCATTTTAACTTAATTACCTCCATAAAGTCCCTATCCCCAAACGTAGTCACATTCCGAATACAAAATTCAACATATTAGTTTTGTTTTGAGGGGCACACAACTCAGTCCATAAAAAAACCTACATATCTCTGTTTATATGAGAAAAAAGTAAGCTTCTAACTTGTTTAAGCCACAGTTATTGTTATTATTATTATTTGTTGTATGTATTGGCTAATCCCAAGCAATACAACGATCACTTAGATTGTTCTGCTTTTGGGGGCTGAAGGCCGTTAGGAAGAATTGTGTGTGTGTGTTACATGTAGGGGCAGGAAATGGCTTCATATTCTCATTGATATTTTTCTCTAGAGGTAGGCTATACATTTGGATCTGAGCTGTCTAGCAATCAAAGCTAGACACCTTCTTTTTTTTACCAGCTTTATAGCTTTACAGCTTTTCATCTGTCCCAGAGAAACACAGATGGTCCTGGAATTGAGATCTGAGGGCAATTTCCCCATAAAGCGGCATTGTAAAGGTCGGTGGGGGGCATCCCCGATCACATTCTTACCATCAATGTTCCAATGGCTCTTCATGCGGTGTCTCTCATTGTTGGCAGATTGCAAAACTGGGCTGAAAATGTCAAGAGAAAAATGTCAGAATGGACTTACATGGCCTAAAGATGTTCCTTTACAAGTGAAAAGGGGGTACTCTTACCCCTTTAAACTTGGTATCACATGGGGAGGAGTAACAACAAAACAATGATGGCAGCAATAATACTGACAGATATTGAGCCTGACTCTGTACCTGGCACTGCTCTGGGGACTTTAATTTTCTTAATTCTCACAGAGACACCAAGGGCTAAGTCCTGAAATCTCCCTCATCTCTCAGAAGATGAGACCAAGGGGGACTTGCTCATGAGTTATGTATCCACAGCTCTTTTTGGGACCCCTGAGCATCAGTCCATGAACTTGTTTTCCCAGGTTGCTGCTTTGTAACCATCTCCACTTGCCTCCCACCCCACAGACCTTTGCAAAGGCCTGGGCCTGCCCTTCTGTAGTGCTGTAGGCAAAGCCGTGACTAGATGGACTGTTCCTGCCTCAAGGTTCTCATAAGTTTGGTAATTTTTAAATGTGTGTTATTAGGCAGCTTGTTTACTTATTTATTTATATATATTAAAAATTGATATATAATCTTATATTAGTTTCAAGTATACAACATAGTGGTTCAACAGTTACCCATATTATTAAATCCTCATCCCCACTAATATTGCTACTATCTGTCAAAATAGGAAGATGATACAGAATCATTGGTTATATTCTCCATGCTGAACTACCATCCTTGTGACCAACCTATATTATGATTGTGGGTTTTTGTGCCCCTTTATAACTGTCAACCTCACCACCCACCCACCCCAATCCTTCTCCCATGGTACCCACCAGTCCCTTCTCTGTGTCTCTGAGTCTGCTACTGTTTGGTTCATTCTGTTTTGTTTTGTATTTATATTCCACAAATAAGTGAAATCATATGGTATTTGTCTTACTCTGCCTGGCTTATTTCACTGAGCACAATACCTTCTACATACATCCATGTTGTTGCAAATGGCAGTATTTCATTTTTATGGCTGAATAATATTCCATTGTGTATATGCACCACATCTTCTTTATCCATTCATCTGTAGATGGACACTTAGGTTGCTTCCATATCTTGGTTATTGTAAATAATGCAGCAGTTAGGCAGCTTCTTTAAGGAATGAATTGATCAAATTCATTTATGGAAACATAAAAAGGTAGTTGAGTAGTGTGGTCAGAAAAACAATGACTCCCAAATAATGTCTTAATTCCCAGAACCTGTGAATATGTTACTTTACATGGCAAAAGGGAATCTGCAGATCTGACTGGGTTAAGGACCTTGAGATGGGGAGATAATCCTGGATTATCTAGGAGGCCCAGTCTAATCACATGAGTCCTGAAAATTAGGGAACCTTTCCCTGTTGTGTTCAGAAGGAGCAATAATGATGGAGGAAGTGTCACACAGATATTGTTTTACTGG